TCCACCAAACATTTGAACATAATTCAGACAAGTTCTTTGCCACTGCATAAAAAGTATCACCCTTCCTCCATTGTCCAGTCACATGTTCATCATTTTCTTTTAAAGCCTCACCAGAAGAACATTTAATGCCCACATTTCTAGCAACATTCTGTTGCTGGTGCTATACGTAATCTCTAAGATGATAGAGAGTTTCTCTATAGCTCTTCGCACTTTCTTTTGAGTCCTCACCAGAATTGCCTTCGATGTTGATATTTCCACCAAGAGTGTCTTCAAGGCAATCTAGGCTTTTACTATTAGGCATGTTAAAACTCTTCCACCCTCTACCCATTACCCAATTCCAAAACTGCTTCCACATTTTAGTTATCTGTTAGAGTAGCACACCACTGTTGCAGTACCAAATTCTGTTTTAGTTATCTGGTGTTGCTATAACAGAATGTGATGTTTAAGATTATGTGTTAACTTGGCTGGGCCATGATTCTCAGTGTTTTGGCAGTTGTATAATGTGATCACTTCCCTGTTGAAATTTGATATGTGATAATTCCTGTGATGGAATCTACTGAGTCGTACCAGTGGGAGTGGGGTCTGTTGTGGCTCATCGCCCCCTTAGCCTTCATCTCTCTGCCCTTCTCCACCTACTTCCTTTCTGTTTGCCTTGCCAGGGCTTTTGTTTGTTATAGATTCTGCAGCTGGCTTCTGTTTGTTTGACCTCTGGTTCTTAGAATTTGAGCCAGCAGCTTCCTGCCAACCTTGAGATTCATTGCTCTTCACAGCCTGCTACATCCTGCTCTCTGGCCTGCCGATCTTAGGTTCACCAGCCCCTGTGGCTACGTGAATATGGAGAATCCTCTTTCCTGCCACCATGGACTTGGGACTTTACCCAGCCTCTAAAAACTGCATGAGCCTTGATATAAATCTTTCTCTCTCTACATATATATATATATATATCTGCTTTACTGGTTTTTTTTCTCTAGAGAACCCAGCCTAACACACAGAAATACCACAAATGGTGGTTTTAATAAGCAGAAATTCATTTTGTCACAGTTTAGGGGACTAGAAGTCTGAATTCAGGGTGCTGGCTCTAGGGGAAGGCTTTCTCTCTCTGTCAACTCTGGTGGTAGGCCCTTGTCTCTTCTGAGCTTCTGCTCCTGAGCAATCTTCATGTGGCTTGACATATCTCTTTTCCCATCTTTGCTCTGCTAGCTTGTTTAATCTCTTTTATATATCAAAAAAGATTTACTCAAGATACACTGTACACTAATCCTGCCTCATTAACATAACAACTACAACCCATTCCCAAATGGGATTATAACCACAGTCATAGAGGTTAGGATTTACAACTCATATTTTTTTGGGACATAATTCCATCCATAACAAATGTCTTACCCAAATCCCTTCCTCATTTATATCCCTTTTCTATAATAGCAGCACAGGTGGATTCAACTGCAGAAAGACCTCCTCCCACCTTCCACACCCCGAATCCTCCTAGGTAGCGATAGGTACACCTCTGTGTTGCCCACTCCTTATCAAAGTTTTCAGGCTCTATAACCCTTAGCACCATGCCTGGCACACAGTAGGCAACATTTCTTGAAAGAAGGTATGAATGGATGACCAAGATGTGGAACATAAAACAGATCTGTGTTCAGCATTTAGTTTACATCATTATCACATTATTTTAATGTTATAATTCATTTTAATATCAGGCATGACAAGTATTTTTCTAAATGTTCTTATCTATTTCTCTATTATTCTAAATGAGTTTTGCCATCTTCAAAATTATTAAAATGGTACTAAAAGGAAATTGAGATAAATCTGTAGATTATTTTTAAACAAATTAACTTGTTTACACTATTTGTTCTTCCCATACAGAAAAATCCTAAAGGCCATTTTATCTCTTTTCCCAGTAGTTTACTTATTCTTTGTGAATAACCTGCACATTTCTTCTTAAGGATGTGGATAGACATTTTGTTGCTGTTGGGAGTGGGATTACTTTCCCTTTTATAAATTCTAATTGGATTTTGCTAGTATCTGGGAAAGCTAATAATGTTTCAATTTTTGCCATCGATTCAGCCATGATGCTGAACACCTGTATTGATTCTAATAATATTTAAGTTGATTCTTTTGTGCTTTCTAGATATATGAGAAAATCTTCTACAAATAGGATTATTTTGTCTTTCCCTTTCCCATAGTTTTAGGTAATTTGGTTCTCTATCTGACTGTATTTACAGGAGGCCCTGTCTCATGTGGGTTTTCCCAGGTCTTAGCACCATATAAGACACTCAGAGGAGTCTCTGGGTGGTGCAAATGGTTAACACACTTGGCTACTAACCAAAAGGCTGGAGGTTTGAAGCCACCCAGTGGTGCCTCGGAAGAAAAGTCTGGTGATCTATTTCTGAAAAATCAGCCATTGAAAATCCTGTGGAGCACAGTTCTACTCTGAAACACATGGGGTTACCATGAGTTGGAATAGATTTAATGGCAACTTTTTTTTTTTTTTTAAGGCATTTAAGAGTTGGTTAAACACTTGCTGAGTAACTGTTGTGCCTCACATTGGAGGTGTGTTGAATGCTGCCTTGTGTTTCATTTTCTTCTCTTGTGTGTATTTTAATAAGCAATAATTAGATAACAACAGTATCAAAGTCCCTTTTCAAAAACATTAGCTCATTTGTTCCTGTAAAAATAGCATGGCAGTGGCATCTGACCTCCTCTAACTTCACAAGGGGAAGGAGAATCAAGATCAACAGCCCAAGGCTGATTCCCAAGAGGCAGAGGTCAGACATGCCTCTTCTGTCTGCCATCTTTACCAATTCTGACACCAACCATCCCTCCCATGGCACTTTATTTTTCTGTTGGATTTGATAATTCATTGCAATGGCCACACAGAACTCGTAGACAATACTCGTGATTATGGGGTTTATTAGGGAAGTAACAGGTTACAATTCAGGTTCAGGAATGCTCAGGATACAATTCTTCCATCAGGACAATCTCTTCCCAGTTGTGCTCACAGGCATGCCTCTCTCTGGGCACTCGGCCTCTGCCCTGCTCAGGCAAGTGTTATAAAACTCTTTTAGCTCTGCTGATAAGTGCCTTGAGTAAGCCTCAGCCTGAAAGCATTCAGCTATAACTCAGTGAATCCAGCAAACCTGGCTCCACCAAATGCCCAGAGGCACCCTATTCCTCTAGCAAGCCTCCTCCTTGAAGGTACTCAGCTTTCTCACTCCATGGGTTGGGAAGCTTACCATGCCATCTCCTGCTGGTCTCCTGCCACTCTCCTGGTTTTGCTGCCTCTGCTGCTGCCATGTCTCTGTCACTACTTCCTCATGATCTTGCCGTTTATTGTGTTACAGCTTGCTCTCTGTTGGTCTGCTGGGTCTAGGAGTGTCTCAGCACAGGGATCCCAGGTCCAAAGGACGCGACTGACTCTTGGCTATTCTTTCTTGGTGGTGGTGAGATCCTCTCTTTGATCTGGAATTGGCTCTCTTTTAAGCCTAGTGTTATGGTGAAACTGATCAATCCCCTTGGTGGGCCACAATTTTCCTGTTTGCACCATCCCACCCAATCACTTGGATGGGAGTTGCAAGAGCATGGTGAGAATGGCCACATGAAAGCTAACTATTGCACCACAGGCCACCACCTGGCTTTTCTAGCCATGGTTCTTTCATACTTGGAGGATAACTTCCCCCTCCTAATCATTTTATGAGTCTGAAACAGTAATTAACAATTATTTCTTTAATAGGGCAAAGAGTCCTCAGGGTGAGGTTACTCAAGTACCAGCCATTCAGGTCTGCTGCAGCTGTCCATCTGATCTGGTCAGGTTCTCCAAAAGTTATCTTGGCTTCCCCCTTTTTGATGTCTAATAAAATTTAACTGAGAGAGGATTATTCTCTTGCTCTGAGCCTCACGAGATTTCAGCATAGCAAAACCTTTAAGGGACGTTAGGTTTGGCCACTGTACTTGAGTCCAGCACTGCCTCCCTCTTAGTCCACTCTTTTAAACTTAAGGGCATCTACAATTACAGTTTTTACAATAACAATTAACCCTGTTAACAATCAACACTCACAACTGAGTCATATAATCCTATCAGCATCTTTCCCCACCCTCCCTTCCCCAGACCCATCAGGAAAAGACAAATCTATTCAGTGGAGATCCTCCCTTGTCCCTCTCTTTTTGCGTGTAAGCACACTCAAGAAAACTTGTAATCCAGCCACTTCATGTCTTTATCTCCCCCCATTTTAGATAACCAGTGTTTAAATTGCCTGCAGGTCTATACTTTTCAAAGAGTAAAACAGACCCCAAATACGTGCTCAGTGAATGGTTGGTTAAAATTGACTCATTTTTCTCTTCATCATTTTATTGCTCTGTTTATGTCATTTGCCCCTTGTCCTCTCCATCAATGATACCCTAATTTACAAACTCCAAATTGGAGCCAGATTGGTCATATATAGTTTCTCCATTAATCTTAAAGAGCAGGAAGAGCAAGAAAGTAAAGTGGTAAAAAGTAATTAATGTAATGTAGACCATATTTAGAGGGCAGTAACTTATAATATGAGAGCTAGAGTAGGACAGATCTGGGTCCAAATCCTGGTTAACTAGTAGTTGTGTGACCTCAGACCATTTAGCTAATCTCTCTAAGCCTTCGTTTCTTTTGTGCCAAGTGAGGATGTTCATACCTGTCTCCAAGGTTTCTCATGAGGATTAAATGCGGTAAGGCATATGAAGTACTCAGAACAACGTTTTGTGCTTAGTAGGAATTCAATAATCCAGTGCTATTCTTACCAAATTACTATGGACTAGTTAACATCTGATACTTAAATAATTGAAACCTCAGCATTCCTGTTGTTGATTACTTCTTTACTGTTCATGTATATGAACATGTAATTGCTAGTTATCTCAAATGGCAAATGTTGTCCCATCAGCCATCCTATTCCTTGTGTTTGGAATGGTGGAGAATGTTTTTTTTCCCTGCCTTTTGACTAATTACTTTTGGATTTCTGTTTTGGAAGGTGGAAACTACAGAAGTAAGCCCTTGTTCCAAGAACTTGAGAGTCAGAGAAGTTAATGCAGCCCAAGGTAGGTGACCCATTGTGTTGGTCCAAATGTACTCAGTTTGTAAGAGACAGGTCTCCTACAAAATGGACTGTCCAGGTCTGTGGACTTGCACATAAAGCACAATTAATCTTTGTGAAGAAGACACACAGTGTGCAAACTAGAATTTTGCAACCTCAACCATTGTCTCAAGACATTTCAGATTCATTCACCCAGAGGGAAAATTTTCATTTGAGAGAACATAAAAACTAACCTCAAAGCTCTTAGATCAGAAATAACACCACTGAAGACAAACTAAGAAATATCTATTTTGTAAATTCTTTACACATATTTCTTAGTACGCTTTCTTTTATTTAATTTGCAGTTTCCAGACCAGTGTTTCCTTTTTCAAAAATTGTATTTATTTTGTTGTTGTTGAGAATATATACAGCAAAACATACACCAATTCAACAGTTTCTGTATTTGCAATTCAGTGACATTGATTACACCAATCCAACAGCTTCTACATTTACAATTCAGTGACATTGATTACATTCTTTGAGTTGTGTAACCTTTCTTATCCTCCTTTTCTGAGTTGTTCCTCCCTCGTTAACATAAACTCAAAGTCCCCTAAGTCTTCTATGTAATCTTTCGAGTTGCTGTTGTCAGTTTGATCCCATACAGAGAGGTTTTGAAAGAGCACAATGCTCAAGGCAGACATTCTTTGTTAGTAAAGCTAAATTATTGTTTGGTTCTAATAAGACTTCAGGGATAGTTTTGGCTTAAGATTTAAAGATTATTTCAGGGCAATAGTTTCAGAGGTTTATCTATGCTCTATGGCTCCAGAAAGTCTGGAGTCCATGAAAATTTGAAATTCTGTTCTGTATCTTCCCCTTTTTGATCAGAATTCTACTATAAAATCTTTCATCAAAATGTTCAGTAATGGCAGCCCAGCACCATCCAGTTCTTCTGGTCTCATGGCAAAAAGAGGCAGTTGTTCATGAAGGCAATTAGTCACACATTCCATATCCTCCTTCTATTCCTGACACTCATTTTTCTTCTTTTGCTCCAGGTAAATAGAGTCCAGTTGTTGTGCCTTGAGTAGCTGCTTGCAAGCTTTTAAGACCTCAGGCACTATGCAATGAAATAGGAGGTAGAAAAGAAACACTAAACACACCCCTATTAGGCCAATTAACTGGGATGTCTCATGAAACCATGACCCTAAACCACCAAACCAAGGAACCAAATCCCATGAGTCTTTTTGTTGTACATGAGCAGCCTCAGCTGCTACTCTTTTTCTCCCCCCTGTCATTGTTGTACGTATACAGGAGCTTTTTCCAGTTCAACTTTTTACAGGTGTGCAACTTACTGACAGCAATTGCAACCATCGGCTGTTTAACTCTACCCTTAATCAATGTGATTTTTCCATCATTGTTAACCCCCCTTTCCCCCTACTCCCTGCCCCATAACTGCTAATAAACTTTGGTCTCTATACATTTGCCTTATCTGCTCTTTTTATATGAGTGAGATCATACAATATTTGTCTTTTTGTGATTGACTTGTTTCACTCAGCATAATGTCTTCAGGCTCCATCCATACAGTAGAACGTATGAAGACTTTATTTCTCCTACTGACTGTATGTATGTACCACATTTTGTTGAACCTTTCATCTGTTGAAGGGCATTTTTAGGTTGTTTCTACCTTTTGGCTACTGTGGGTAGTGCTGCAATGAACATTGGTTACAAGTCTCTGTTTGAGTCTCTGCTATCAAGTCTTTTGGGTATAAACCTAGGAATGGAATTGCTGGGTCATATGGTAGTCCTATTTTTAGATTTTGAGGAACTGCCGCACTGTTTTCCACAACGGCTGTGCCATTTTGCATTTCCACCAGCAATGGATAAGGATTCTAATTTCCCCAAATCCCTGTCATCATTTATTATATTCTGTTTTTTTTAATCTTAGCCATCCTAGTGGAGTGAAGTGATATCTCACTGTGGTTTTGACTTGCATCTTTCTGATGGCTAATGAGGAGCTCCTGATGATGCAGTGGTTAAAGCGCTCAGCTGCTAACAGAAAGGTGGCGATTCAAATCCACCAGCACAGCGCTCTGCAGGAGAAAGGTGGGGCAGTCTGCTCCCATAAAGATTTACAGCCTTGGAAACCCTGTGGGGCAGTTCTACTCTGTTGCTATGAGCCGGAAGTGATCTGATGGCAGTGCATGGGATGGCTAATGACACTGAGCATATTTTCGTATGTTTGTTGGCCATTTGAATGTCCTCTTTGGTAAAATGTCTATTCAAGTCCTGTGCCCATTTTATGATTGGGTTATTTGTCTTTTTGTTGTCAAGTTTTCAAAATTTTATATATATTTTGGTTATTTGATTTTTATTGGATATATGTTACCCAAAGATATTGTCACAGTCATTGGCTTGTCTCTTCAATTTTTTGGTAAAGTTTTTTGATGAACAAAAGTTTTATAGTTTTATGAGGTCCCATTTATTTATTTAGTCTTACTGTTTGTGCTTTTGTTATTATATTAGATAATCCATTATTAAAAGCTAGACCCAACAGCATTGTCCCTGCATTTTCTTCTAAGAATTGTATGTTTTTAGTTCACACATTTAGGTCCTTAATCCATTTTTATTTCGTTTTTGTGTGCGGTGTGAGGGATGTGGAGATCCAGTTTTCCCAACACCGTTTATTGAACAGACTTTTCTTTCTCCATCAAATGGATTAGCACCCTTGTAAAATAGCAGTTTACCATAGATGTGTGGGTTTATTTCTGGAGTTAAGTTCTATTACACTGGTCTGTGTGCCCATTGTTATACCAGTACCAGGTATTTTGACTACTCTATCTGTGTCATGAATTGAATTATGTCCCCCCAAAAACGTACGTGTCAGTTTGGCTTGGCCATGATTCCTGGTACTGTGTGATTTTCCTATATGTTGTAAATCCTGCCTTTATGATGTCAATGAGGGAGGATGGGTGGCAGTTGTGTTAGTAAGGCAGGACTCAATTTACAAGACTGGATTGTGTCCTGAGGCAATCTCTTGGGATATAAAAGACAGAAGTGAGCAGTGAGACAGGGGGACCTCATACCATCAAGAAAGCAGTGCCAGGGGCAGAGCGCATCCTTTGGACCGGGGTCCCTGTGCAGAGAAGCTCATAGTGCGGTGGAACACTGAAGAGAAGAAGGCCGACAGAGAGAAAAAGCCTTCCCCTGGAGCTGATGCCCTGAATTTGGACTTTTAGCCTACTTTAACTGTGAGGAAATAAACTTCTCTTTGTTAAAACCATCCACGTGTGGTGTTGCTGTTATAGCAGCACTAGATAACTAACATAATCTGTATAATGTATTTTAAAATCAGGAAGTGTGAGTCATCCTACTTTGTTCTTCTCTTTCAACGTTGCTTTAGTTATTTGGAGTTTCTTGCCATTCCATATATAGTTGAGGATTGTTTTTTCCATTTCTTTAAAGAAGGCTGTTGGAATTTTCATCAGGATTGCATTGAATCTATAGATCATTTTGGGTAGTATTGACATCTTCATAATAATTATATCTTCAAATCTAGACTGTAGTCCATAGAGAGATTACAGAAATGGCATTGAACTCTGAAAGTTTTTAATGAGTGTGTGAGTGTGTATGTGTTGCATTTACATGTAAACACATACATCTTTCTAGAAATGATGTTTCACAAATTTCTTCAGATTCCTAATGCAACCAGTTTCTGTAGATTGTTACAATTGTTAGAAATTAGTGCCGACATATAAATGCAACATGTGAGCTTGCACTGAATTTTCAATACAGACCAACATCTTGAGATTTATATATTCTTTACTTTCAACTGAAATGAGAAGCAGGCTACTTCTTCTTTACATTCAATGGGAGTAAAAAAATAAGAGGATGTAAGAGGATAAAATGAAGCACCCTAAAGCAAAGCAGGAGCCAGCTGTTAATCCTCAGTTACTTCCTGAGCAGCAGTAATGAGCTCTTTGCTATTACAGGTGCCTTAGGGAATGTGAAGTCTTAAGACACACTGTTTTTCCTCCAGGAGCTCACAACATAGCTGATAGAGGGTATATCCAGAAATGTTCAATGCCCCTAAAAATGAAAAATATCTTAAATTCTTAATGGATGCCATCACTCAAGGGAGTATGGGCAAACACCTTGTGATGAGAATCAACTCACAGATTAACTCATAGTTGACTTTAACTTAATATTCTTTTACACATATACAGGCATATCAAGCATGCAAAAAGGACATTTAAACATAGCATTTGTTTGTTTTTAAAAACAGATATACAAAAATAGAATGAAAAATAGCCTATAATCTCATCATCCAAACACGTAAGACTAACATTAAATAATTAAAAGCAACACATACACATTTTTATAGCTTTCAAACAACAGTATTCAAACAACAATGGCTACAATAATAGGCTCAAGCATAACAACGATAGTGAGAATCGTGCAGGACCAGGCAGTGTTTCATTCTGTTGTACATAGGGTCATTATGATTTGGAACCAACTGGACAGCACCTAACAATAACAACAAGGTACCTCCTAGATCTTCAGATGGGGTTTGTGAGGAGCCCTGCGCTTAAACTTTATTAGCTTCATGGTAAATCCTCTTCTGATAATAACATAAACAGACCACCAAAGTGTTTGTGAGAGTATGGGCAGAGGGGACATGAAGGAAGATGCATATCCTCAGCCGTAAAAGTGAGAAGCCTGAAGGAGAGGTGAGGGTAGGAGAAAGTCTGCACAAAAGAAAAGTTCATGGGCATCAGGACCAGTAAGACGGCCTTGAGTTTCATGTAAATGAAAACCCCAATTCAAAATGGCTTCTACACAAAGGGGATTGTTGAGGGTCTTCCTCTTTTTGACTGACTCTCTACATTACCAAGTATGATGTCCTTCTCTAGGGACTGGTTCCTCCTGATAACATGACAAAAGTACGTAAGAAAAAGTCTCATCATCTTTGCTTCTAAGGAGCATTCTGGCTATACTTCTTCCAAGTGTCTGGTAGTCTA